TTGTTTTCCTCTGTTTCTTTGCATTGATCACTGAGGAAGGCTTTCTTATCTCTCCTTGCTATTCTTTGGAACTCTGCATTCAAATGGGAATCTCTTTCCTTTTCTCCTTTGCTTTTCGCTTCTCTTCTTTTCACAGCTATTTGTAAGGCCTCCTCAGACAGCCGTTTTGCTTTTTTGCATTTCTTTTTCTAGGGATGATCTTGATCCCTGTCTTATGTGCAATGTCACAAACCTCCAACCATAGTTCATCTGACACTCTATCAGATCTAGTCCCTTAAATATATTTCTCACTTACACTGTATAATTGTAAGGGAGTTCATCTTTCAATGTCCTATCTTTTTGCCTTTTCATACTGTTCATGGGGTTCTCAAGGCAAGAATACTGAAGTGGTTTGCCACTCCCTTCTCCAATACAATAAACTTACCCAGAGTTATAAAGTTGATAATTATCAGAGCTGGGAATGGAACCAAAGCCTTAACAATTAAATCTCTCAGTCACTAAGATTTAGTGTTTGGAAATCTCTTCCTAGTCAGTCTTTTGTCTAAACTCTTTAAACTATCTATCCTTGCTGACTTGACTTTGTTCTGTGACTGCCTTAAGGGGTGTTATTCTCCAAACACTCAAACATCTAATCTCCCATTTGGAAAAACATGGTCTTTGTTGTGTGTCCGCAATCAACCACCATCCACAATGGTTAAGGTATCAAAATCAAGAATGTGCCATTTGTCTACATATGATGGCACTCTCACTGTATCCCTCGGTGGCAATTATCTTCCAAGATTGCTTGATTTTGGTACTAACAATCAAGAAGCTACCTCCTAAGGGGCAATAAACCTGTTTCTGAATGAGGCAGAGAAAGCCTTGATGTTATAGGCAATGCAGAGGAGTTTGATTAGGCAAGGAAGAAACACATTCCTGGGTCAGTTTGGGGCATTCTAATTGCTCTTTCAAAAGAAGTCATTATGAGAGTTGAAGATCACATTTGGGAAAGAAGGGTTTATGGCTTTTAAAGCAATTTAAGTGGTAAGTAGATGGAATGCTCTTACTATTTTAATTTGCATACATACTTTTTCTTTTATAGGTATGATTAGAAGGGAACAGCTATTCACTCCAGTATTCTGGCCTGGAGAATTCCATGGACTGTATAGGCCATGGTGTCGCAAAGAGTTGGACATGACTGAGCAACTTTCACTTTCACTTTAGAATACATACTCCCTGTTCAAATAAAATA